GTTTTAATTACAGAGCCCTCATTGTCAGCACTGACCCATTTTAAAGCCAATCCTCACCGTCAGCTGCACGGACCCTCCCATCACACTTAATTCCTTCTGGCATTTGACTCAATCGGTGGTGCAGCAAACATGAGCCCAGACTGCCCCTCCACCCTGCCTCACCTCATCCCAGTAGAACGGAGCTGGGAATAACAATAACAACCTCCTCTGGCAGCTCCGGTTGGCCACCGAGGCAACTGGCCTGCCACAGCCCGGCTTTCACTGGTGAAGATCGATGTCGGTGGTAAGGGACGTTTCTGAGGACGTTCTCTGAGGAAATGAGGGAACTCCTCTTAAACAACGCGATCCAGTGAAATGTGTCTGAGCGACGGCGCCCGGAACATTCACACCTCTTGGCTTGGACTTCACTGAGTTTTCTTCAAAGAAGCCAATGAGATTTGGATCAGTGTCCATGAAGATGAGCCACTCATGTGTTTTAGGAGCCATCAGTTTGTCATTCAACCCTAAGTCATGACTCTGGATTTCCTCTGATGAGTTGGGGTTAGTGGTTGGTGGTCGGGGTTACGGTTTGAAAACCTTTGAAGCTAAACATGCTTTTACAAAAGGAATACAGTTATCCAGGGCTGCCGAAGGCCCCAGTAAGCCTTTCCCTTAGGGACGTGGCAGAGGAGGTTTGCTTTAGTGAATCTACAGAACACGCTAGGATTTGAACGCAAACACGGTCACGGAACATCCCTTCTGCTAGAACCAGAAACCCACGATGCCAGAGGAAACGAGACAGCGCTAAACACCGGTCACCAGTTTTTAGGTCCAAACATCTTTTGTTGTCCGTGACTTCAGATGGTGTTTTTCTTTTTGGGACTCTGGTAGTTTGTCTTAAACCCGAGGCGGTAGCAGCCGGCTGTTTCTCCTCCTCCGATGTTATTTAGAGGAGTGTTCTGGTGCTGAATACGCGAGTGTGTGATGAGTGGAGGACCCAGGGAAGTGCAGCGGTTCAGCGAGACCGACAACTGGGTCATTCAGTGGTTGGTTTTGGTCTGAAACGTGTTATTGGTGGAGGATTTTAGACGAATGCAAGAGAACCACTTTATTATTATTATTATTATTATTATTATTATTATTATTATTATTATTTAATCTCCTTAAGAGGCATGAACAAATATTTTAAGTTTAAATTTGCCATTGCAGCTTTACGTGCTTGTCTGGTAATCTGAGAATTATGGGATCAGGTCCCACTCAGTATGTTGCAGTTGTGTCCTTGGGCAAGACATACTCCCCATTGCCTGCTGGTGGCACCAGGCAGCCTTGCCTCTCTGTTCACCCCAGGGCAGCTGTGGCTACATAGTAGCTCATCACCACCACTGTGTGAATGGGTGAATGATTGTGTTTTAAAGGCGTTTGGGGGGCTGTAGAACCTTAGAAAGCACGATACAAACACAATCCCTTTACTCACCTTTCCAGGTGATTTTCTTTGAGTCGGAAAGTGAGACGTGTGAGGCACCGATAGGTGGGGTTTGCAAATCAAATCGAAGCTAAATTGTTTCTAACTGGATACAAAAAAGAGAATCCGACGTTCAAACGTACGAAAACAGAATCAAGATAAAACACCTGCAGGAAAAGATGCAAAGCAAAGTCTTCTTTAACATCTGCAGACGCGCCACATCAGTCGGTTTCTTATCCTCGATGACTTAGTTATGTTAGCTCACTAGTTATGTCGCAGTTAGATATTTGTCATTTTTGTAACCTAGCTGGTGACGAGTAACAATATTAAGAATTCCTCTCCAGATCTGCGACGGCTGATGCAAGCATGAAGGTTTTCTTCCACAATCTGACACAACATTATCTGCACACGAAAAGCTTTTCCCGTTTGGTTTCTTTCAAAGCAACAGGCAGGGGAAAAAGCAGTTGGGACTCATTTGTCCCCAAATTCTCCGGGAACTATTTACACCGAGCAAACATCAGCTCACTTTTTAAAAGCCCCGCCTAGAGAGGCAGGAGAAACAAGCCGCCGACTCCACGTCGCCTTATCTCCCCTCCACAATCAGAACCATGTTCCTAACCCTTCAAGAGAGAATGATATCTCTGAGACTTTAATTTATCATCTAAAAGAGGAAGAGGGACAGAGTAACACATCCAAGATAAGGCCAGCGTAAGGTTAATTACCCGCCGAGTGGCTGATGTAACCCAGTCATGTCGTGTCTCAGCTGCACACAGCTGGGGAGCAGCAGACAGATGTTTCTCGCTCGAGTCCTGTGAGACTCTGAGCCACCCTGTTTGTATGAACACTCCATGTCAGCGCTGAACCCCAGTGCTTAAGCCAGATGTAGTTTATCGGGCCAGTTCCAGTCTGAGACAGAACTGGAGGCTTGAACCAGCTACTTCAGTTACAGCAAACAGCTCGTAGAGCTCCCTCAAGGGTGCTCCCAAGGGGTGGCCAGAGGTGGCCATGGCCACCCCTAAAAAATACTCCCCCCCCCCCCCCAGGAAAAGCCAGTGTTAAAAAAAATCATATTAATGTTCAGTCAAACCAAGTATTGATCTTGTTTATTCAATACATAATTGTAAAACAAAATAAAAATAGTACAATTAACGAGTAAATAAATAATCTAAATTAAAAAAAGTGTTTCTGCTGATCACCATTTCAAAAAAGTTTTTATCTCCATAGTTTTTTCTTTTTAACACAGCAGCAGGTGAATTAACCTAAAAAATACATTTTTAAATTAAATTAAGGATAACATTTAAAATAGCTGAAATGTATATTTCTGAAATGTTTGTAAAATTTAAGTTAAATGTTTTGGATACGTACGGTTATTTTAATCGAAACGAGTAAAGGCGCAATGCAGCACATCGCCACTGACTAAATTCTCTCAGAGTTACCACAAGGACCAATTTGGTGGGCCACCCCAAACATTGGCCACATCTGGCCACCCATATCAAAATTTTCTGGAGGCGCCCCTGCGCTCCCTCCTCCAGCATGGGACCTTGCCCAGACAGATTCATCGTTTTCGGTTGATTAGCACCACTTTGTCAGTGATAAGGATTACCAGCTATTCAGAAAAAAAAGAGTTTAAGTCCATAGAAATGTGATGCTTCTCAAAATTCACCCTCATCCTAAAAGATGCCAGTGCATAAACACGAAGGCAGCCTCCTTACAGCTCCTCCGTTCGTGATTCCGGCTCTAAAGTGCTTCCCGTTTTTATCCAGCTGCATAAAGAACATGCCAACAATGCCACAGAATGTGGTTCAACCAGATCTAATGGGCTGGCTTTTGTTAGCAGAAGATTTTATGACAAACTCTGTAAAACAAACAGCAACAGGATTTTTGCAGAACTCATGTGAAAGCCCCGCCCCCTTTGTAGGCTCATGTAAACTTAGAAACTTCAATGGAGGTTTTAATGTGTCAAAGAAAGTTAGATTTTACTGGTGATTTGTTATTTTTAATGACTTTAGCACAATTCGTTTAAAGTTTAACGATTTTTCTGCCTTTGTAACTTAGAAAGTGTGTTGTAAGCAAACAGAGATTGGAGTAAAGGAAGAATCACACATCAAAATGAAGATGGTTTGGTTTTCTTTAACCCGCTTTAACAACTTTTTCTGCATTATAATTGACAATTTTCTCTCAGATTTACTCAGGAAGCAGAGCGTGGACCCACACAAGGTCCTTTAGTTTTCCTGGTAACACTTCCTTTTACAGTCCCCTAATTACTAAGTACTTACATGGTAATTACATAGTAAGTTAAAGTGTATTATTGTGTAATTAAAGCGTATAATTGTAATAAAGTGTAATTATTGTTAAAAGCAGTATTTATTGGGAAAGATTAATAAAAATAAAAACTAGAATTGAGCCCGAGTTTGATGGTAATAACTGTTTAAGAACTCAGAAACAACAATACACTTTAATTTACTATGTAATTACCATGTAAGTACTTAGTAATTAGGGAAATGTAAACGGAAGCGTTTTCCTTTAAAACGGTCTTGTTGACCCGGTTTGTGTAGAGGCATAACACACAAGATGCGTCTGTCTTGGACTGAGATGCAGGTGTGCTGTTACCATGGTGACCTTTAGGAGCCACAGGGGCTACCATGGCGACTATAATGAGACTCTGGTAACAGTTAGAACATTTTTTGTTTGTTTTTGGTCCTCATCATGTGCTTACCTTTTAAGCACAGAACTAAGAGACTTTTTTTTGCAGAGGAGATCTGATTGGGGCTTCGTGAACGCTTCCTGCTCAGAGTTGTGCCGGCTGAGTTTCACTTTCCCCGCTCTTACCGAGCTGCATTGTGCTCGCGGGTCCAGCTGCCGGCCCGTAATTCTTCATTCTATGCCTCATTGTTCCTACCTGTCAGCGCGGCCGCGTCTCAGAAGAAACAAAGTGGCTGCCATTTTGCCGGCGGGCTGTGTGGGTTGGGGGGGGGGGACTTGTCTTGTAAACATGTTATCTCTTAACTAGAAGATGAAGTTTAATCACTGCTTTAAACAACAATAACCTATCTTTTTTACTCTTATTTTCCTTCATTGATGAAACTGTTTCTGTTGCAGGGAAAAAGGTGAAAAGCTTCACCAGCTTATCACTCAAATGAAATGTTGCGCCCAGCTGTCATTGACCCACAATGTAAACACCCTCCACCTCCTTATTTCCCCTCAGTATCACATCTCCCATAGGTTATTCAAAGTTAATAACCTGCCGCTGCACTGCAATTCTTGGCTTTGTGATGCAAACATATACTTAATTGCCATCCCATAAGAGCTGAATAGCCAGAGCAGATTCTCATTACCCTGGTTTGAATTGGCCGGGGCCTCTCACATGCCTCTTATCATGCAACAATAATGGAAGAGTGGCAGAATGCGGCTGCACGTGCCGAGAAAGGGTTAAGGCGGTGTGCAAACATCCAAAGATGAGTGTGAAATAGTGTGTGAGTGACAGGTGTCTGCTGGGGAAGTGATGCTGCTACACCCGGTGTTCTGTGCTGATTGTGTGTTTTCTTATTTCTGTTTGCAGTTCCAGAACAACAACAATTACATGAACATGGCCGAAGCAAACGGCGCTCTGCTTGCTGCTGGGGATGTGAGTTCAAATGTTGCTTTGCCTAAATGTCTTTTTGTGTTCACAAAGCCAGAATACCACTGACTGATGAAAATATGAATGTGAACTGCACCAGTCATGCAAACTTTCTGCTGTTCGGGTCACAATTTTGTCTTAATTGGTGTTTATTGGTCACCAGCTCCTCCCTACGTTGCCTTACAGTTGTTACACTTTCCTATTCGGGAACTGAACTGAGAAGTCTCGGGCCCTTTCTACCAGACGAGCAAGCATGGTGTAACGTCCGCCAAGCGCAGCACGCAGTGATTAGCTGCCATTATAGTGGATGGATGCGTTTCCACTCGCCACAAAGTGCGTTTTGGAGACGTTCCAGAAGCGTAGTGACGCGTCGCTCCTCTAAATTTTTCACTTCCAGAGCACATCAAGCTCAGCAGTTCAGATTGAGTTAGAAATGAAGTCAAACACAAAGCAGCGTAAAGCATCTGAAAACTTTCAAAATAAAAGGCACGTGCAAATTTCACTTGTATAATCAGTAAAAAAAAAATGAAAAAGAATCAGCTCCTTTAAATCTGAGACCACGGTCTTGATTCTGAAAAGGGTAGAATGCCTTCTCCAGGTCAGGGATGAGGTCCTGCCCCAAGTGGAGGAGTTTAAGTATCTCAGGGTCTTGTTCATGAGTGAGAGAAAGATAGCGCGTGAGATCGATAGGCGGTTTGGTGCTGCATCTGCAGTGATGCGGGCGTTGTACCGGTCTGTCGTGGTGAAGAGAGAGCTGAGTCAGAAGGCGAAGCTCTCGATTTACCGGTCGATCTACATTCCTACCCTCACCTATGGTCATGAGCTTTGGGTAGTGACCGAAAGAACGAGATCACGGATACAAGCGACTGACATGAGCTTTCTCCACAGAGCGGCCGGGCTCTCCCTTAGAGATAGGTTGAGAAGCTCGGTCATTCGGGAGGGGCTAGGAGTAGACCCGCTGCTCCTCCACATCGAGAGGAGCCAGTCGAGGTGGCTCGGGCATCTGGTCAGGACGCCTCCCTGGTGAGGTTTTCCAGGCACGTCCAACCGGGAGGAGACCTAAAGGTAGACCCAGGACACGGTGGAGGGACTATGTCTCTCACCTGGCCAGGGAACGCCTTGGGATTCCCCCGGAGGAGCCGGCCCAAGTGGCTGGGGAGAGGGAAGTCCGGGCCTCTCGCCTTAGGCTACTGCCCCCTCGACCTGACTCCAGATAAGCGGATGAAAATGGATGGATGGAAAAAAAAAAGAACTTGAGGACCCGTGAAACCTCCGTAGTCAAACAGAACCAGCTGTGTGGAACTTTTTCATTGCCTATTCACGCCACTCCTGAGGAGCAGGGATGTGCTGCTGAGCTCCGGGGGGGAAACGCGTCTATTGCTTTACGCGTTGTTTACTCATCCAGTGGACGTCTGGGGTCAGGGTTGGACATGTGTGATGACCGAGTGATCATTTTCTTGGGGAAGTTTGTCTTTCAAATCTCTTTAACGTTTCAAATTCAACCAGCACAAGAGCGAGCCACATTAACTCACGTTAGAAAACAAGCATCACGTTCTTCAGATGCTATTAAACCTGCTTTAGGTGCTACAAACAGTAATGTTAACCCTCTCAGGCTCAAAAGAAGTTTTGATAAAAGGACGAACAACTTAGTCCTTCAGGGGTACTTTATGTACGTGGAGTAACCAGGTGGGTAGGATTCACCGTTGCAAATCTGCAACGCCTGCCTCCAGAGGGTTAAATCAAATTAAAGCCTCTCCACAGTTTCTTCCAATGCTCAAAACAGTATTCTTTATTCTAAAAGAGTTCAGTAATAAAAGCACGATTGTCCCATATTAAGCTGCATTTAATACGATCGGTGGCCCAGAAAGAAAACGCTTTCTCAGAACTCTGAGGACAGAAACATGTGCACGCTTCCTTTTTTAAGTAAAAACACAATGAAGGAGCATAAAGAAAATCACAGCTGTTTCCCTCCCAACTATCTGTTGGCACTTCCAAAGCCGATGACAGCGATCTGCCGTCTGCCTGCATTAAAACAAAGACGGGAGTAGCTGTTCCTCTGGAAGTTTACTGCAGCCTCTGGGAGCCAGAGCAGTCCTAACGCCGAGCTAAATTTACCCGTTTTATTCCCCCTCCACCCACTCCGCTGCCCTGTCATTAAAAACAAGCACACCAAAAATACCCACGGCCCTCTGTGGTTCAAACGCTCCCATCTCATTCACAGACTGATCCAGCTTCTAAACCTGCAGCGAAAGCATCATTGCACAGCTTCAAAACGCTGAGAGAGACGTCAAAGTTAACCTCGTGTTTTTGCATTCATATCAGCCGTGCAGCGGGGATGCACCCGTGACACGCCAGTTCAGGCGGCGCCGCACGAGCGTGTGGAGCGTGTGACCTCGTGTTCGTAACACGGCCTCCTCGCAACGCCGCAGAGTATTGCAGAAGGAGTCCAATTTCCCCCACAGTTACGCTGACTGGGCACATCCTGCGTATCCACGGGCTGCCGAGCCTGGTGCAGCAGGGGCCGCATCCACACAGCCTGCTTGGAGAGCGTTCAGCCCCCAGCTGTGAGGGCCCAGTGTGGCAGTAAAGGGAGGGGGATCTTAATAAAAGCAGCGCAGCTCATTTGCATTTAATCAAAAGGAACAACTGTTCCCAGTGTTGGGGGTGCAGATGGTATTGTCCTTTAAAAGAAAAGACTCATAATGCTCACTGGACATTTATCAGTTGGAATAAAGTAAGTTGGTCTGAGCCGCGGCGGTTTCATCATGTGTTCATTTGCTTTACATGAGTATATCAGGTACAAAGAAAAGGCTCCGTTCTTTCTGTGGTTCCTGTTGAAATCTGTGCACGTTGCTTGGAAGTTCACTGGTAGAAGGATTATTTCCAGTGTTTGAACTGAAGAAGAAAGAACCAATGTATGGCGCGGTATGGGGGCCAAAATTAAGACTACTGCCCAGCAGCAGGAGGCTATATAAATTCTGAAACAAACTACTGACCTGATTAATGGTAAGCTGGCGCTGGTAACTGAGAGGCTGGCGCTGCTTACTGAGGAATAGCACCTTTGCCGGCGTTACTACTAGATACGCTAGGGACTAGCAGCCCTCGGCTGGTTATTGACTGGTTCACACACTCCCCCTGCTGTCTATTAGCATGGATAGGCTAGCATTAGCCTGGACGGGCTGGTGTTAGCATTGGAGAGGCTAGCCATTAGCGTGCCTAAGATGGCCACTAGCTGGATTTCCTACCCCCTTGACGGACCTTAAGCATGGATAGGCTGGCATTAGCATCGGAGAGGCTAGCCATTAGCATGTCTCAGAGAGTCACTTGTCAACTAGAGGCCAGCCTAGGCGAGGCTGTCGCACACAGACACCTCCAGTCCCTCCTGTAGTCGTGACAAGGCGGGCACCGAACTCCTCAGCCACCGTCCACCTACGGTTACACTTCTTTACCCTTTTTTAATCCAAACATTGTTCTTCATGAGTCGTGCATCGCCTAATTCCTTAAATCCAGTCAGAAACACAGCGTGGAGCGGCTCGTGACGCCCCGTGCTTAACCAAGCTCCTGAGGGTTTCGTAGCTTATATGAGTTTGGCGTCACCAATCCTGCACACCTGCAGGAGGCTAGCATGTGCAACAGCAGGTCATTTCTCCACTAGAGAGTTAGCGGTGCTGGTGACGTGCTGCTGTTTGGATGGTCGGTGTATCGTTTACCTCGTGCACTTAGAGGATGAGATAAGATGACCTTGGTGCGCCTGGTAAAGCACATTTTGGACGGGAAGGCTTGACCGCCTCCCTCAGGGAAAAGAGATACTGTACACTGGGATTGTGTTGCGCTCAGATGTATCGCTTTACTCTCCCAATCAAATCAGACTCGTGTAATGAGCTATAAATATGTAGAAATGGACCCCAAATGATCCAAATGTGAAATAACGCTGATTAGCCGTGCCGTGGTTGATGTTGTCATTCGAGTAGCTGCATTGTGCCCGTCCAGATATTTGAAACTGGATCTTCAATCCAGCCGCTATTGATTCTGAGGGCTATTATATGCAGTAATTGCATGCTGCTGCCTTTAACAAGTCTTGGTTATTGCATCTTTGAATTGGATTACTATGTTTATTGAGGGACTGGGGCTGCTGCCTGAAAAGCTTTTTCTTGCTCTTTGTCCTGATATTGAAGAAGCTTCAGAGGATAACACGCTGGAAAGAAAGACGAGCCGCTTCGTCCGTGGATGTTTTTCTGGTTTTGAATTGGTTTTATTAATTAATGTCTTAATCAATGTTAAATTTATTAATATCATAATATGAGGCAGGATGTAATTGTTCATTATAGGTTCCACAAAATATTTACTATGGCTGCAACTAACAACTATTTTAATAGTCGACTAGTCGCCGACTATTGAAACGATTAGTCGACTAATCGGATAATTATTAAATTTTTCTTAAATGTAGCATGAGATTGCTTTAATTGTGTGAAAACTGATAATAAACACAAGAAAGATGGGTACTTCAATGGAAAATGCATATTTTATTGAACTTTGCTGCTGATTGGCCAATTCATATTAAAGTAAATAAAAATGCTGTCTAACACTAATTAGGCACAGTGCCCAGTCAGTACAGACATAAATGCATAAATAAAGTTTAAATACTTTTGTCAGGCACAGTCGGGCATAACATTGAATCTCTATTTTTAAAAAGTGAAAAAACGTTTAAAAAATGTACATCCAAAACAAAACGTGTTGGCTTTCGTGTTATTTAAATCTTACCGAGGTGAGTCAGACTCTGTTTCACTCAACTGTCCGACGTGCTTTCTCGTTAAGTGTTCATGCATCACCGAGGTGCTGCAGTGATACGCGAGGACTGCTTTGCAAATAATGCAGGTCATCTTTTTATTCGCCGAATCCCGGCTAGAATGCTCCCAAACTTTAGATGTTTTGGTACGCGTAGCTGCGGTGTCGGACGCCGCCATTTCTGTTAGTTGGCGCTCAGCAGAGAAGCTATTGCGCACGTG